ATACATCTAGAACCTGGATTTGTGTCTAGGACAGCCTGTAAATAATCCCTAATCTTGGTGTATTGGGCCTTTTGACCTCCTAAAACAACATTCTTTGCTGCCTTTCTAGCCCTGTAGGCCATGTGGGTTGAAATATCCACTCCATACTTGCTCTTTGCAGTGTTAATTATTGTTGTTATTGTTGTGTTAGGGTCATTCCTCACTGCCTCCTCACAATGTTTTGCAACCCACTTGGCAGTTACTTTGGTGCTCTCTGACACAGAAGGGCATGTGTGCACCAAATACACCTTTCTAATGGTAATTGTCTTCTCATTTGCAATCTGAGAAGCTGCTATATAAAAAGGGCATTGCTCATCTATGCACTGTGATATAACCCTATCACTGCAGTTTATGTGGTACTCATAGTTCCTGTTCTGTGATATGTGCAGGGTTTGGAGTGCAATTCTGAACTGGTACACATCAATGAAGCAAAGATGCTTCACAAATTGGTCTTGTGGGTCAGCTCTGTCCTCATCATACCATAACCTTGGCATCAACTTCTTTGCTCTGCTCTTTCTACCACTGGGCAACACATAAGCCATTGCCTCAGCACCATCATCATCTTCCAAACCCAGGTCTAATGGATTTTTGTCCTCATCATCTGATGGTATCTAGTCATCCTCAAAAATTTACTCTACACTTCCATGTGATCTGCTAGTTGGCCCTTTTCTCTCTCTCTTGGCCTTATTCTTCTTCTCAACATGTTGACCACTCTCTTGCTCCTCTTCATTGTGTTGTTCCCCTTGCACCACTTCCTCCAATTCCTCCAATTCCTCCTCCCGTTGATCATCATCATCCTCTTATTCACCTGATGGATCATACAGTTCCTCCTCCTCATCTGTAGACCACATATCCTCAACATCTGTGTCCCCTTCAAAACGCAGTAATGGATCATCCCTCTGTTTTTTCATTTCCTCAAGCCTAGCAAGGATATCCCCATATTCTGACAAATTATCATCATCACTATCCTCTTCATTGTCCATAACCGCAGCTTTCCTTTTCAAAGGAGTGGCCTTCTCTTTTTATTTCTCATTCTTCCTAAACATTGCAATTTCCTTTGTCCTTCTCTCCTCCATGACTTTTTCTATTTGCAGTTGCTCCTCTGAATTGTTTGTGCTCTGTTGTGTTTGAAACTGTATTGGTCTTGGTTCTTCTACTGGTACTACTGTTGCTGTGTTTGAAACTGAACTAGGATGTGCATTGAACAACACTCCTTCTTCATCTACCTGATACAGTTGGGGCTCTCCAATTTCCTGCAGAGGGTTCTGTTGCTCAATAACATTAGCACTGCAATTTATATGTGTAGGTTTGGGGGAACTGGCCCTAACAACTGTCACATTGAAAATCTTCTGCTTCTGCTGTACTATGTGGTCTAGAATTTCCTCCAGCATGTCATCATCCTCTATTTCTTGCATTCCTTCTATCCCTAGGCCAGGATCCTTCACATAGTACATGTAATCCCTCACCCCATATCCTTCGGTCTCTATCAGTGCAACTGGATTGTAAAATGTGATGTCTGACAACATCATAGTTCTCTCAAGATTATCTCTGTCATGAAAATGCATCCTCAATTCCCAAATCTCATCATCCAGACTGCAAATTTATAAAGAAATATAGTGGTGTATAAGTGTTCAATTATAACACTTATGAAAAAGCAGGACAACATCAATACATAGCTTTGGGTTGCTTAAATAACCAATGTAGTACAAAGCAAAAAACTGCAATAACCCTAGCATGGTTCATTAAGATCTACTGCTTATAAACCATAGCTTATTTCAACTAAGTAAGACACACAGAACAGCTAATTTATACATAATGAGTTAATTTCAGAAAGAAATCATCGCAATAACAATCATAGGGCCAACAATAGGCAATGGAGATGGGGAAGGGGATATCACTACACACTAACCCTAGCCCTAGAAACGGGTCAAATAAGTTCACAGGAAAATGGATAAGGGAAGGGGATCTCACTATACACCGCCGAAGGATGAGGCGATGTGGTGGCTTCCATTGGGATTCGCCTTCACCGCCTTGCTAGGGTTCGAGCTCCCACAGAGCTCGCCATCTAGGTCGGGATCCGCGTCGCCTGCGCCACTGCCGGGAGGACCGCCGCCGCCAACACCGCCTGCTTTCGCTGGAGTAGCCATCTGCCTACGCGACGAGAGGAGGGGAGAGAGCGGCAGGAGAGTGGGGAAGAAGGCAGAAGCGAGGAGGGGAGAGAGCGGCGGCAGGAGAAGAGGGGGAGAAACGAACAGATGGGGGATGGAGGCATACGGCGCCGTCAAACGCCGTCTAACGGCTATCGAGACGGCCGACGGTGCCACGTGCGCAAAAAACGGGCCCCGCCTGTCATAAACAAGCTTAACTGACCCCGATCCGCTGATCAGTGCTTTCTGCAAAAAGATTACGGAAGACACGGTGTTTTCTGCAAAAAAATGTATTGTAGTGATTTTCGCAACCCTTGCCTTCAAAGTGGTGGTTTTTTGCAATTTACTCCTGCCTCAGCGTCCTAGGCCTTGGCAAGGACGAAGGAGATATACGAGGTGTCTGACGGGTGTTGTGGCTACCCCACAGTGAGGAGCAGTCGCCGCCTCGCCGGTCGCCGAATGATGCGTACGGATTCAAATGGGTCACATTATTCTCAAAACTCCTTTTGCGATTGTGTTCTCTAGTTGTGCATTTTTGTCGTATTGGGCAGGTTGATGAAGCAAGGTGATGCGCTTGACCTGAGGACGGTGTCAAGATGCTGAAGGATAACGCATCGAAGATGATGCGCATTTGCGCTGCTGTTCAAGATGGAGAGGAGCCCTGGTGATCTATGTTTATTCGCTGCTGATTGTTCTCCCACTCCCTTAGTCGCCTCTTAATGGTTTTATTACTCTCCTATGATACTTTGGTCCTTGTCATCCCTTGCGTGGGTATTCTTCTTGGTGCGTGAGCGTGTCTGTCTTGAATTTGGCCGGTGCCGCCGTAACTATTTTGGTTGTGTCGTCAAGTTTTCGCCCTGGATATCTCGATGGCGAGTGTTTGCAGTAGGTTTCCCGGCGATGCCTGAACTCGCTGTCCCCTTCCCCGCCTCCTCTCCTGAACTGATGTATTTCTATATTTTCTTTTTGGACAAAATGTATTTCTATGTCAAAGTAATGAAATTCGGTTATGCACGGTTCAAAAATAATACTATATTTTTAATGCCCATCATGCCCTTATGTAAACCCATATGTATAAAGGGGTGCAGACCGATCTCGATCATTGATGTGTTTAAAGGTTCTACCGAAGAAATGCTGTATCTCAGTTTTGGCTGTTAGAAATCATTCCAGTGGTGAGTTGGTAACAAGTGTATTCGGTACAGGGACCATCGTTCATATCAGTGATTGTCCTGAAATTGTGGAACACACACGTACGGAGCGGAGCAGTACTGCACCCGACCTCAATTCCACTTGTTTAGCTCATTAGTGCGATGCCAAGACTGACCCAAGTCTTGCCTTTTCACACGATCACCAATTAGTAGCTACAGGCATTACTGCACTTCAATTGTTCTGTTAGTAGGGGAAATTTTCACACGGCAGCACAAGGGGGGCATTCATTGATGCTACTCTACATGCTTGCTGATCAAGCCCCTCTACCTTACACAAGCAACACATCCAAAGACGTCGTTCCCTCGCTTGTATCATCATTTGCCTGGCTGCTGCTGCCTGCTAGTCAAATTCCATCGAATCAAATGAACAAACAAACTGATGATAAACCCACTTTATGACCTTCGACTAGCTCCTCTCTTCCTTAATACGCCCACTTAACTGATGATAATACACCAGAGCAGTATGTATGATGTAAACTCCATACATAGTATCCGTAACTGCGTACTAGTAGTAATTAGTAGAATCGATCCACCAAATATGTAAGTAGAGTTGGATTGGATGAAGCCGTTGGAAGGACAGTTCATCAGGTGTTAGAATCAAAAGTAGCAAAGGAAATACAGGAGGATCTAGCGAATGATGCTTCAAACTATGAGGATATGCAAAAATACATTGTTCATTTTCAGACAACCAATGATGGCATAGCTCTGTAATAACAAAAATGTATGCATAATTTGGCAGATGATTCAAGAGAATCTAGAACTGGATTTTCTTCTACAGAAAGAAAGTAGAAATGAAAGGCATGCTCAAAATTATACAAACAATGGTCCTTGTATGAACTTGGATCTCCTTTAGAATCCTTGCAAAACTACCAAACCTGATCAACTTTGCAAAACCCTGAATTTAGAACCCTCAATATGGAAGATGCATAGCACATGAACTAACAAAAAAGAAGAAACGTTTTCATCGATCTCTGGAAATAAATTAACAAACAACAAGGAGATGGCCAAGCATCATTCTTTTCACTGCCACCCCCACCACCACAACATATAATTGGCATATATCATATCCAAAAATTACTGCCATAATATAATCAGGAAACAAAACCAAGATCAGAAACAGCCATATGCAATTTTATATGAAAATAATGGATGTTGATCTG